CCCGAAAAGTGAACATGTTGCATTGTTTTTTGTTGCATTGAGATTTAATTTCTTTTGATAGTATTTTTGAATACTATGCGTCTCTATACATAATTTAAATCACTTTTCCTGTTCAGTTTGTGTACTTACATACATTAAAATACGATTTTTCACGTGTACGAATATTTATTTCCCCCCCACTGTAATTGTTACTTAATGTACGTATATGTTAACTAGATTTGACAAGTAAATACAGAGTAGAACGGTGCTTAGTTGTATAAATTAATAACCTAATAATAATAATAATAAACTAGTAACCTTTTTGAGAAGACTTGAGTACATAGTAGCCTCATTATACATAATAAGTGCATTAAGTGCACCAGCTATCGTACATGATGTCTGATTAGAGGTGTAAATTGTCCCCTGTATTACATTGAGTGTGCAGGTGCTGGAGTTGTGGGACAGGGTGTACCAGGCGTGGGTGGTATCGCCCCCCCTGGCGTCCCGGGCCCCCCTGCAGGGTCCCGTCGTCACGTCCCAGGCCGTCGCCGACACCTTCGACAACCTCGTGCAGGGCATCGCTAACTCCCCGGGTACGAGGCAGGGGTCTTAAGGTCTTAAGGTCTCGTGCAGGGCATCGCTAACTCCCCGGGTACGAGGCAGGGGCCTTAAGGTCTTAAGGTCTCGTGCAGGGCATCGCTAACTCCCCGGGTACGAGGCAGGGGCCTTAAGGTCTTAAGGTCTCGTGCAAGGCATCGCTAACTCCCCGGGTACGAGGCAGGGGCCTTAAGGTCTTAAGGTCTCGTGCAAGGCATCGCTAACTTCAGACCTTCATTCAGTCGTGTATGAGGGAGGGGTACAAGTTCATAAAATTCATAAAATTCAACCTTCATTCAGCCGGGTATGGGCGGCAGAGGAGGTCAATTCATTGAATTCATTGTAATTCCGTCTTCATTCAAGTTGAGTTTTTAATCTCACTGTCTGGGCTTCTTTACCGTTTTCGTGATTTTCGTATTTTCAACTATCTTGGATTGGGCTCGTGCATCTTTAATTCAATTTTTTTAGCGTTTTTTCTACCTTTAAACTTTACTTTTCCGGTTTTTGCATTTCTTCTTCACTGGGCAGTTGCTTTAAGCTTAAGTCTTATACTCACTGAGAAGGCGTTTTGCGACGTAAAGTCTCTGGATTGGGACTTTTGAGGCTCTCATATCCACTCTGCTTTTATTTTACATTGAGCATGTTTATGCCGTTGAATTCTAACCTCTGCACTTCAACTCACCGGGTTTATTGATGGTTACATCTTCTAACTCTCATCATGGCAAGCCACAATGTTTTCAGAAATCTTTTGGAGATCAAGATTGCTTAAAAATTTCATCATTGAATTTCTGTTTTTGACTCCTACGTACGTATGAGAGTTTAATTTTTCACTGTTTTGAAGCCCGTAATTGCTAGAAGAAAACCATAACAATTATTTGCTGCACCACATAAATCAAAATAAAAATTACTGCATAAATTTCAAAATATTCCAAATTGCATCGTTCAATTTCTGAACGAAAACAAAAACTTTGATAATCTGTGAGTCATTTTGTTGAGTTTGACATTATGTTTGTGTCATCCTGTGCTGCAGCCAACAGCCCCATGGCAGGTAGGAAAAGCGTCCTCCTTCTCTCTTCATTCTCCTCTCTTCATTGTGTTCTCTTCATTCTCCTCTCTTCATTGTGTTCTCTTCATTCTCCTCTCTTCATTGTGTTCTCTTCATTCTCCTCTCTTCATTGTGTTCTCTTCATTCTCCTCTCTTCATTCTCTCTTCATTGTGTTCTCGTTGTCTTCTTCTAGTGCCGGATGATCTTTTTTTTTTTTGAACGCTCATTTCTAATATCTATTCCGGCCATTTTATTTTATCAAATTTAAACAAGAATGCTCAGCATTTTTTGTTTTCATAACTGAAGAAAATGGCCTGCACTCGCTCCATATTCAAAACATTTGTACCCTTACTTACAGTGAATAAATAAACGTGATACTAATGAATGCAAATACTAAATTTACGGCATTAATAAATAAGCAATTATTGCCAGTTTATACATGAGAAACGGCAACCAATTTCAATATAAGATATGCGCAACGCTCACGCGTTGCTCAGCTAACAGGAGCGACGAACAGGCCTCGATTTATAAGGCTGTTTTATAGGCTGTTTATAATAATAATGATTTATAAGGCTGTTTTATAGGCTGTTTATAATAATAATGATTTATAAGGCTGTTATAAGACTGTTTTGCCAGTCAAGTCAAGTGAATTTTAATTTTCATATTTACCTTGTATTTTTTGCCACCCTAAATATTCACCGTTAAAAATATCAATGAATGTTTTTCAACCTATTGCTTTACGTACTAAATCCCGAATATTTAAATCATGATTTTGCCCAAAGTTTCTATGTACTAAAATAACAGCAGTTTTATTTGCTCCCTTAAAACCAGATGATTTGTGTGCTGTTAACTTTACTCACGTGTTTTGTCTTCTAGAATCGATGTTATTATAGCATTTATTAGGTTTAGATGAAAATCAGATGTGCATATCAGTTCCATGCGATGCCATTTCTCTCCTCACTTCGAGTGCTCCAACTGACATCCACGCTTGATATTCATGGTGCTTACAATGCCTTGCTTACTTAATAGTGACTTCTACTGTCTTATTATAAATATATTCTATATCAGTCTTAAAATGCCTAGCACCTCACAGACCATGCAATAAGTCCAGAAGCTATCTCAATCAATCGTCAGCTATGGAAAGATCGGGTTCCAAAGGCCGGATCCCTCGTGAATCAAGTCACGAAAAATTCAAGAATCGGCAACAGGCCATGGGCCTATTTCTTCAGTCCCGACACTCGTATTCTATTCTTCTCTATTCTAACAAGTCATAGTCTTGCACCGACGCATTATCATGTCATGTCGAAAACGTTCATTAAAAACGCTCCTCGCGACGCGGTTTCTCCGTTGGAGCAAATCCATGCATTACGTCTCGCATGCACATTAGCTAACAAAGATCCATTCACGTTCAATCAGTCAATGTGAGATATATTGCCATGACGAATACATAATAAAATATAGTCTTGATTTTGCATCACATATGATGCATTTCTGCGTCCTTTTTCAACATAATGTACATTTCTGTACTCATTCAACGTGAGTTACTCAACATGAGATACAATGTTGTTGCCACGTTGAGTCTAAGATGCCATATAGTGTGGATATGTGACAGCAATGGTATAGCAGGAACTTTATATCAGGAATGGTGTACCAGGAATGGTGTAACAGTAATGCTGTAACAGTAATGCTGTAACAGTAATGCTGCAACAGTAATGCTGTAACAGGAATACTGTAACAGTAATGCTGTAACAGTAATGCTGTAACAGTAATGCTGTACCAGCAATACATGCAACAGTAATGCTGTAACAGTAATGCTGCAACAGTAATGCTGCAACAGTAATGCTGTAACAGCAATGCTGTAACACTTGTCTCACAGGTCTGATATCACTCGAGTCTATGAGTCAAGTGCTGCGTGACAACGTAGGCACAATACTGAGCGTGCTGGAGGGCGTGTGGGGCGTGCTGCTGGGCAACATCAGCATCGTCGTGTCGCTCACCACAGCATCAGCCTCAGCACTGCTCGGCGGCTCGCTGTCTCTGCTCAACGCACTTATCTCTGCTGTGAGTGACACTTGCAAGTGGTTAATGGATATGTGCTTCTTATTCACTTAGAGAAAGCAAACATACTTCTTATAGAATTGAAGCCATACTTTCATAACGCGCTAAGTGAACGTAAGTACTTACGCTCTATTTTCTTGTCTATGATTGGTGGATTTTGCTTGAAAGGCCGTCAATGATTGGCTGATGAACTTACGATATCCTAACTTTTTTTGAAAGTATAGGCCCTGGTCTCGAAGAGAAATTACATTGCTTATGATTTTCTTTCTATGGTTTCTTGATAATTTTTGTTTATTTATTTTGTTCATTTTTCTTATTGTTTTTTTTTTCGTTAGTTTTTTTTATGGATTTTTTGTTGCATTTTCATCGTTATGTGCTTATGTTATTTAAAATATTACCATACCAATAGGGTATTTGTCCAATTTGGAGTAATTATTATTGATTTGGTTTTTATTGCATTAGGTATAACTCAAGTTATGATTAATTTATGAGGGTTTACTTATGGAAAATACCTCAGACTGAAAGGATTAATCTTTTCGTTGCATCTTAAATTCATGAATGCTCGGTACATACTGCACCTATAGTAAGTACCAGTTGTTTTGTGCCTATTGAAATTTGAGTAATTATTATGTATTAGTTTAATTTTGTTTTAAAGTTGAGTTTTTGTGTTGCAGGCGTGAAATTTGAGTAATTATTATGTATTAGTTTGAATTAGTTGTAAAGTTGAATTGTTGTGTTACAGGTTGTGTTCCTGACGGCTCTGTTCTACGTGCTGGCAAGTTCTGGCCAGACTTATCGCCCTGTAGCCATCCTCGGCAACCTCGCGCCTGGTCAGATGAACAGGTTAGTTAGTCTGGACATGTTTTTTTGTGTAGCTTTTTTAGCAAGTCAAATGTGACAGAATCAATGATGGGATTGTTTAATTATGTCATGAACTATTTGAGTTGTTGGTTATTTTATTTTTAGCCCACAGTTAAATGTGGCAGACTCAATGATGGGATTGTTTAATTGTGTCATGAATTATTTGAGTTGTTGGTTATTTTATTTTTAGCCCACAGATAGCTGGGATGTTACAGCGTTGGAGGATGTTATAGCTGGGATGTTAAAGCGTTGGAGGATGTTTTAGCTGGGATGTTAAAGCGTTGGAGGATGTTATAGCTGGTATGTTACAGCGTTGGAGTGGCGTTGGAGGAGGCTATCAACGGTGTGTTCACAGCGTCGCTCAAGATGGGCGTCTTCTACGGCCTGTGGACGTGGCTCCTGCACTCCATCTTCGCCACCAACATCGTCTACATCCCTGCTGGTATAGAATAATTTTTATTATTTATTTTGCTGGTCTATGATTGTTTTCTTTATTTATTTCGCTGGTATATGATTGTTTTGCCATCGTACGGTATATCAGAATAAATAATTTGCATTATTTTTCATTATTTAATGCAAATTCATTTAATTATTTGTCATTATTTAATTGTTTGCCATCGTGTATACTGTATCAGAAGTAAATAGTTTTCATTATTTATTTCGCTGGTATATGATTGTGTGCCATCGTGAAGCAGACGTTAATAGTTTTCACCATTTATTTAGAAGTGAATTCTTTCCTAGAATTAATTTTATAACCACCAATTATTCATTGAATTATTTACCTACATACCCACGTTATTCCTTGAAATAATCACCTACACCCTCCCCCAATTATTACCCTCCTTATTCCATGAATTATTTACCTATATATCCTCCTTATTCCTTGAATTAATTTTATTTCATCCTTATTCCTTAAGGCGAACATTAACTGGTGCTTTCCCTGTGAAGTATTAATGTTTCAATTACTCCGTCTGTTTCTTATATTTATTGATATCTCTGTATATATATTTCTGGTGAACACTCTCATTTATTTTGTAACCTTTGGTTGCTTAACTAATTACCGCAGAGAAGGAATTAAATATTTCTGCATAGCATAGAAAAAACAACAAAGGATTGACGAAATGTAATATCATTATGACTGCCATTTCAGGAATTATTTATTTAAAAAAATTATTTCCTGACATTACGATTGAGTTCTGACATTATTAATTGGATTATTCCGGGATCTATAATTATTGATTAAGAGTAATTGATTGTTCCCTTCAGTTAATTATTGATTACGAATAATTGTTGCCTACAGTGCTGGGCGCGCTGTTTGGGGCCCTGCCATTTCCTTTAAAAAAAAATAATTTCCTGACATTAGTGATTGAAATATTCTGGTATCTATAATTATTAATTACGACCAATTAATTTTTGCCCGCAGTTAATTATTGATTGATTACGAATAAGTAGCCTACAGTTAATTATTGATTACGAATAAGTAGCCTACAGTTAATTATTGATTACGAATAATTAATTGATTATTGCCTGCAGTGCTGGGCGCATTATTGATTACGGCATTTATAATTAATAATTAAGAGTAATTAATTGTTGCCTGCAGTTAATTATTGATTAAGAGTAATTAATTGTTGCCTACAGTTAATTATTGATTAAGAGTAATTAATTGTTGCCTGCAGTGCTAGGTGCGCTGTTCGGGGCGGTGCCTCTAGTGGGCACGTACTGGGCGTGCGTGCCCGGGCTGCTGGAGCTGTGGTGGGGCCATGACAGCCCCACGCTGGCCCTGCTGCTGCTGCTGAGCAGATATGCTGAGATAAAATAGTGTGATAACCTGCCCCGATGAAATCACCACCATCAGTTGATGAAATCAGACCAGTAGGTGATATCAACAGCGATAAAAGCAGTCCCGGTAGTGGAACTAGGGCGTAAAAAAATTCCAAGCACCTTCTCTGAAGTATATTTATTATTATTTGTTCTGCTTAAGAATCAGAATAAATACAGGACATGTTGACAGAGGAGGCACCTGTAATAAATACAGGACATGTTGACAGAGGAGGGCACCTGTAGTAAATACAGAACATGTTGACAGAGGAGGACACCCATAATAAATACAGGACATGTTGACAGAGGAGGCACCTGTAATAAATACAGGACATGTTGACAGAGGACACCTGTAATAAATGCAAGATATTTAACAGAGGAGGGCACCCTTACCTGACGGGTGTGACTGTAGGCGGGTCTCTGGAGTATAATCATATTTGTGCTGCTTAAGAAGTATAATAAATGTAGGATATATTAACAGAGGTGGGCACCCGTACCTGACGGGGCTGGCGGTGGGCGGGGGCATCTTCTGCTGGGGCGCTGAGGGCGCCATCCTGGGCCCCCTGCTGCTGTGCATCCTGCTGGTCGCCACCAACCTCTACGCCGCCCTCATCTGTCCCCCTCCTCCTGCTCCTGCTGGTGCCAAGTACTCCAGACTACGGAGGTGATGAGTTGTGTTGGGTTGTAGGGTGATGAGGTTATAGGGTGATGAGGTTATGGTAAGACCCCCGCCCCCCACCTCCTGCTCCTGCTCCTGCTGCTAAGTACTCCAGACTACGGAGGTGATGAGGCTCGTTATTGGGTTATAGGGTGATGACGTTATGATATTAGGTGTTATCTTTTATTTAGTGCCAACATGTTTATCTTTATCGCTGCTTTACTGTGTTCATGTTAAATTTCTTCTCATATTAGTTGCAGGCGCCAATCAATCATTGTTGAAACTGAAATACGTTGATAGGTTCAGTTGTTATGGCACATGTTGAACTCTTCAGGCTGTGGAATTCTTTTTAGATAAAAATCCTCTGTTATTTGGACCCTAATGTAGCCTCTAGGTAGGTATAGCCTTACATAGACTATGTGAACTATGAGTGTAGTTTATTTATCAGGCCCAGGAAGTTATATAACTATGTGGCATTCTACAGTTTTGATAGGTTCTCAGTTATTTGTTTTTATTTTGACTTTATACTTTTATTTATCATTTTTGGTTTAGTTTAAATTTTATTTAGCAGCTTATCACGGGCAGCTTCTGGCCTGAGCTACATTGAGGTGCTTATGTTGGAATTTAAGTGCACAATTTATTTACTTTTCCTCTAGTCGTCTTGTGTTGCTGTGTGCTGTTTGTGTCCACCGTTGTGCTGGTGCCGGTGTGCTGTTTGTGTCCACTATTGTGCTGGTGCCAGTGTGCTGTTTGTGTCCACCGTTGTGCTGGTGCCAGTGTGCTGTTTGTGTCCACCGTTGTGCTGGTGCCAGTGTGCTGTTTGTGTCCACCATTGTGCTGGTGCCAGTGTGCTGTTTGTGTCCACCATTGTGCTGGTGCCAGTGTGCTGTTTGTGTCCACCATTGTGCTGGTGCCAGTGTGCTGTTTGTGTCCACCATTGTGCTGGTGCCAGTGTGCTGTTTGTGTCCACCATTGTGCTGGTGCCAGTGTGCTGTTTGTGTCCACCATTGTGCTGGTGCCAGTGTGCTGTTTGTGTCCACCATTGTGCTGGTGCCAGTGTGCTGTTTGTGTCCACCATTGTGCTGGTGCCAGTGTGCTGTTTGTGTCCACCATTGTGCTGGTGCCAGTGTGCTGTTTGTNCTCCACCACCACCCCGCCACCATCACCCCTCCACCATCCCTCCACCACCACCCCACCACCATCCCTCCATCACCACCCCTCCACCACCACCCCTCCCTGACACCCTCCCTCCCTCCCAGAACCCTGACCGCTGGTCGGTAACGCCTCATCGCCGCCGCTGATGCCTGGAATATTTGCACAAGCGCAGCTTTTTTTATAATTTTAATTCCTCATTTAACTTGTTTTAATTCTTTGTTTAACTTGTTAAAGTGGTAGGTAGCGTTTCTTCTTTCAAATTTACACTTTTTTGTTTGATTTAAAAAGTTTATTCTTTTGAAAGGGGAATTGATTGTGTTTATGTTTAAACTTTTTTTTTAAATTGGGTTTTTTTATTTAATAAGTTGATATTGAACAAAGAATGTGCCTGGCTGTCACGATAAAAAGTTGTATTAGTTTTATGTTTGTTTAGCAATGATTTTTCGTGTAATAAATTTTCCTTTTTTATCTTAATTTTAGTTATATTTTTATGTACCCTTTATTTTTTATAGTATAATATTATAAGAAATTATTAGCAATATTAAAGAAACAAATGAACACAAAGTTGAATGTTCTTATAGCTTTAAAACCTCAAAATATTCTCATAATCTATACTAGATTGTTGCTTAAATGAAATGCAAGAAAGATTCTCATTAGACATGGAGATTCGGTTCATATGTCAAGTATCAAATAGAAGATCGGTTGAATTTTTGAAATACATTTAATGATGACTTACGATCTTGTTATTGGATTTCTCAACGTCCGTTAAGTTTCGTATATAAATACTTGAATTTGTGTCGTCAATGCAGCGATAGGCTTCAAGTGAGTCCACCCTATATATATCCTGCTCATTAGTTAGAAAATAATGCTAGTTCAGTTGAAAAGCTTCTATTATTTAACTATAGCTGCTTTGCTGTTCTCTATCTTAGATTTAAAGATCACTTCTTTCATTCGAGAGTATGACTTGCTTGTAAAACTTATTTTTCTTAGAACTGACTTAATCGATGATGAAACCATATGAGCTAATAGCTTTATTTCGGGCAATGGTCTGTACTGTACTATACTGTACTGTGCTGTACTGGACTGTACTGAACTGTGCTGTACTGGACTGTACTGTACTGTAAGAGAATCGAGACTGGGATCGTAGAGAATCGAGACTGGGATCGTAGAGAATCGAGACTGGGATCGTAGAGAAGCGAGACTGGGATCGCAGAGAATCGAGACTGGGATCGTGGAGAATCGAGACTGGGATCTTAGAGAAGCGAGACTGGGTTCGCAGAGAAGCGAGACTGGGTTCGCAGAGAATCGAGACTGGGATCGCAGAGAATCGAGAATGGGATCGTGGAGAATCGAGACTGGGATCGTAGAGAATCGAGACTGGGATCGTAGAGAATCGAGACTGGGATCGCAGAGATTCGAGACTGGGATCGCAGAGATTCGAGACTGGGATCGCAGAGATTCGAGACTGGGATCGCAGAGATTCGAGACTGGGGTCGTGGAGAATATCTACACGTAAAGGCGTCCTGAGCTAGTAACTAAATTTGAACATGTCTGTTGATGCTCCAGAAGAGATTTTTTTTTCTTGTTTTGCCACGAAGATTCAGTTGATGTTTTTTTTTTTGCTTATCACCTATTTTATTTTATAATTATTTCGGTTTCGTTTTAATGAACTATGGAAGCTACGGTAGTTTGTTGTTTTGATTTGGTCTCTAATAAACGTTCCTTCTTTACATAAGCAGTGTCATGGCTTCTTAATTAAAAGTTTAAATACGCAGCGCTCGTTTCATCTTTGAATGGACAAACTTTCATGGCGAAATCTCAAAAATATGAACTTTAAAGTTCATGAAACGTTTTTTTTTTGCTATACCAGACGACAAAAAATAATCTTATTTAATTATGGTTTACAACTTCATCTGCTTTGGTGGATCGAAGAAGTAAATTTTGAAATTAGAAAGGCAGCTAAACAAACCGTCCTCTAACATGCCCGCGTGCAATTTCTATATAGCTAGACATGCAATTTCTATATAGCTAGACATGCAATTTCTATATAGCTAGACATGCAATTTCTATATATCGATGACATGATCGATGATCAATACGAAATTTTCCACTAAAAAAATTTCAGCCGCCAAGTTTGACCACGTGCAATATGATGATCAGGAGCGCATTGGTCTTGAATATCCTGAACTTGAATTTATTTCTTCCATTTCACATTCTTTTGGATATTCGAGGCCGAAAAAGTCCAAATGAATTTTTTGTACACCCTTCCCATGTCGCTCATAATAAACTAGGTACTTTATTTATTAATTTGATTTTGAAAGCTTTCATTTTGCGTTGTCTGTTAATTGAGCGTTAATGAACACAACTATATACTACAAACTACTACACAACTATATACTACCTACTATCTATATACCAAAAATCTTGCTTTGCTTCAAATGTACGACGTGCAGCTCTAATATGTCTTGCATATATTAATTATTGTGTGTGTTGTCTTTGTATATTATGATTGAAATTTATGAAGCTTTCGTTTTCCTTATTTGTGGTTTTGTTTTCCTTGCTTTTAGTCTGTGGTGCTGTTTCTGTATCATACTGTGTAAGTATATCATGACGTGAGCCATGCGTCACTATTATCGAATATATTATACTTTCTTAGAGTATCTCATAAAATTACTTAGAGCAATAACTAAACAGAGAACCAGTGGTTGAGAAAGCTCAACATGCTGAGGATGTTGTGCGATGTTAAGAATCGGCGACAGGCCTACGGCCTAATAAACGTTGAAACCGCTATTATTTATTTATAAGACAAACGCAAGAACAGCTCTGTTTAGATCTATGCATGAGCTTCAACCTCTCGAAGGGATATAAGTGATTATGTTTTATTTACTGCTCTTTACTAGCCTATAACGTGCGCCTTAATTAAGGAGCATGAAGAGACTTCCGTCAAAGCAATGAGTTCATGCATTCACGTAGAGACCAAGTACGTTTGTACGTCCGTTTTCAATATTATATCGCGAACGCCCAGTATAGAACAAGCCTCTCTCTCGTTTAAGCCAGCACACTTGAAAATGGAGGAAATAATAACATTAGACGATTGTTTTCTTTAATGATTGATGTTACGTTGGCATGTTGCAGGAGCTTTAGTCAGCTGGAGTAGCGGCTTCTGTTACATCCAGCGCGCGCTATATAGATGTGCCTCTAACAACAGTGATGCTGTAGCAGCTCACATCTCACTCCCTCCGTAACGCTGGAGAGCGCGACGTCGCTGACAAAACCCAGAGTTGTGGAACACAAACCAAAGGAAACCCCCAAACAGGGAAGATAAACCCGAACTACGGAAGACCAACCGGAACTACGGAAGACAAATTTTAACTAAGCAAGGCGAACCCCACCACGAAAGGCAAACTCAAACACGGTAGACAAACTCGAACCATGGAAGACAAACCCAAACTAAGGAAAGACCAACCGCAACTTCGGAAGACAAATCCAAACGACGGTACACGAACTTTAACTATGGAAGACATGCCTAAACTACGGTCCTTCTCTAGAAACGTATCTAGTGCTAGTGATGTACGTAGTGCTAGTGATACACAGTTCTAGTGACGTACCAATTGCTAGCTTACACCTCTAGACATGACCATATGCTAGTGTGCTCCAAAGTAATAGTGATGTCCTTATGATGAGTTCGGGATTTCCTAGTCCCCGGTCACGCTGATGCGCCGCCTTCATCGTCCTCCGTCTCCGAGTCGTCGCTAGGCAGGTCACCCCGCCCCCGGGTCCCGGATGTAACATTGTCACGCCAGGCGCTCGTAATGTACCAGGTACTACTAGTCATGCATCAGGTCCTAGTGATGTTAGTGGTGCTCCAGGAGTTGGCGATGCACCAGGTACTTGTGATGTGCTAGTGACTAGAGATGCACGAGCTACTGGTGATTTTCGAGGTACTGGTGGGGTGTTGGTCATATATTAGGTACTAGTGATAAACCAGGAGCTATAGTAGTGCTAGTGATGTACTAGTCACTGCTTAATACTTGTGATGTGCAACTTTGTAATCATACTCTAGGTGCTATAGATACCACTAGCAGACAGCCGCGCACTGCAGATCCATGGTCCTAACTACAGCGGTCATGGAGGCGGTTGAGAATTCTTGATCACTCTTTGCGCCATATATTTATCTCGCAACAAATCATCTTTACTATATGTATAATCTAGAAGAAAATGTTAATTTCTAACATATTTTATCCCATTCATCTTAGCTTATTCTATTAGAGTCATTCAAGTGGATAACACGTACCCGCATGTGATGATTTTCATTGAGAAAGCTCGTATGATGGAACACCTCATTACAGCGCTGACATCGTTAGAACGAATGTCGAAGTAATGGAATCCAGGGTTGGATTTAACTAGTCGCGCATTTATAGTCAATTTTAAATCTATTATGAATTGTATTGGTGGGTGATGGGTATGTAATGAATAACCAATGATACATATGAGCGTCTCTAGCTGTTCGTGCTTCTTGCTATTAAACGAAGCACTTGTCAAGTTTTTTCCAGCACGCGAGGTATTTACTCAGTATATTATGCTGAAAATTACATGGACTTCAATGCTTTGAGATCTTGAATAGTAAGATTCGCTGTAATGTTTACTATTTATCGGCAATTTTTCCGATTGTGGCGCAGAGTGAAAAATGCAGGACTTAATTGGAGTGGTTGAAAATAATCGACAGTTCGACTGTTCATGTAGCTGAAATGACGAATTTCAGTGCGGGATTTTATTTCTAATTTAAATTGTAGCCAGTTCTTTCAGCTCACGAAACTCTCGGAGGATCAGGTTGTTCGAACCGGTTAGATATAGTGTTGGTTACAAGTGATGGTGTAGAAAAATAACATGTGTAAGTTGTTCGAGGTTCGCATTCGAGATGAAGAATTTAATTGTCGCATAAAATACTGTCAAAGTTCATACAGTTCCCGTACGCAGATTGCCAATATTGTATTACGATTAGTCCTAATATTTAAAGAAGTAACAATGAAAATGCTGTGATATATTACGGCCTTCTGCGAGCCTACTGAGCGTGGTCGCATGCATGGGCTTCTGCGTCATAATTCATATGTTTCTTCTGTTGGCTTGGATGTCATTAGTGTACTTCAACATTACCCTCATTATATAGAGGGAAATTAGGCGATCAAAAGCATTCAGACCTCATTTAATTTTTCGACTTTTCAAGTTGGATGACAAGTTTTATGCAAAATTAAGAATTGTAACGACCCAGTGGTTACAACTGCACAATTATTCCTTGCTCACTTCCTTGCTCCTATATCCTGATGCATGGCAAAAGGTTAGACTGAATGCAATATATTTACTCGGCAGCGATTCTCTCTCTCTCTCTAAATCAATTCCTAATTACATTTATTTAGATCGTTTTCGTTATTCAATGAAGATTATTTATCCGTTTTAGAAATTAGTTCATATCATCGTCGAGTGATGGTCAGACGCCCAAAAAATTCTTTGGTATGTTGTTTTCTTTGGCATCAGTGATGAACAAATCATTATCCTTCCTTGTTAATATTAATCCTTGCATCAATATCCGATAAATATATGCGCACTATGAAATGATTTTGCTATGTTCATTTAAGGTCATGCATAATTAGTGACTTATTGGCCTTGAGGAGATCAGTGACGCGAATTTTGTGTTGTCGCTGCGTTTGGTGTTTACTTCCGCAATGAAGGGTGCCAGAAGCGTCGCGAATTCACTTATATAAACGAGAGATAAAACTTCGGGATTTCGCTGTTATAAATGATGTTCCTAATACATTTTTCATTGCTTGCCAAACTTTCATCTGTTTTATGAATTAATAAAAGACAGCTTTTGATACCTTGTTTTTTTTTTCCTTTTTACCACACTCAGCGAACATCAATTTAACTAGAAATTAATACGTTGCCACGCTATATTATTATAAAAAATAGAGCGATGTTACAGCATAAGAGTAACATTTTATTTCTTGACCCCTTAAGTTTTAAGTAAACTCTGCCAGTGGTACGACGTTATAAATAAATATTTTAAGTTATTAAGTTAAGCATGGTTCTACTTACAATTGAGATTTCAGAATGGCTAAACTATAAACCACTGCGCGAAATTTTGTGTTCGAAGTTGCCCGGCAAATAATTGGAATGACCGGTAAAAACCATAGGTTAGTCAATTGATAGCTTAAGACTCATCTTTCGAGGATGAGAGATGGCTTGAGCTATACAGGTCTTGTAGCATTGGAAGTAAAAAAACTTATCGAAATGGCGGTTGAATGATGAATTCGAAAGGCCTCTGTGTTACTTCGGTTATGAGATGTAATGGTGCAAGTTAGAATAATTCTTCTCATTAATTTTAATGATTACCCACAGATATAGACGAATTAAATGGAAGCATGCAGCGCTACAGAACGAACACCACATACGCTCCATAGCACAACGCGCGCTCAAGGTCTGTCCATGCGACAGTGAGTTAGAAAATAAACTCCACAACTGACAGCATATTTTTGTCGACAACGGTTAAGCGAGAGGAAATTTTATATTATCGACTGGAATCACAATCAGAAGGAAATATCTCGATCAGATACTATCAAAATCAGATGAAGAGCGATTTCACTCCGATCGTTAGGTTCCGCAGTCAATCGTTCACAAAATAACCTCGGAAGCTCAACATATGTATATAAAATAAATTGATATGTTACAGTATAAATAGAATTATAAACTCTGTCTTCTGACTATCTTTTGAAGGTATGCAACAATGAATGGGATAAATTAATTAAACAAATTTTCAATATAAAATTGTATAACCACTAACGCAAGAAGTTCACCTTTGCAAATTAACCACCAGAAGTGTAGAATCTCACGTCTAAATTACGGCTGCAATGAGTCATATCTAAGATAAAAATTTGTCTTGCGTGCACCTGAGGTTAGATAAAAATATAAATATTTATTAAGAAGTTTAATATTTGCTTCGGCCAACATAATAGAGAAGACTCATATGAACGAGGATAGTTGGCCGCAGAAAGTGCGGTTCCTAATTTAAGAATATTTGGAGATTTAAAATATTGAATTGTATTCTTCAAATGGAAGAACTTCAATCCAGTGCAATCGATAATTAATTATTATTCCATTTTCTTCAATATATTTTTTGCGCAAGGAGAATGAGGTATATTTTAAAGCACTTTAATGTCAGACACGTGCACTATAAATTAGAAAAATAATGCATTCAATTACATACATATAAAATGCCTGCTAAAAAGTGGATAATGTCGATATCGATATTAAGTAGTGAATTTCAATGTATATTGTCAGAGCAAAAATTTTGTGAAACCGCTCGCAATCTTGTTATAAAATATTCAATATACTTATTAATCCTAATATGTAAAGAAATTTGTTTCCAACTAGCTCCAAATTGATTAAAAATCATGTTATCCTTTATAATAATTCATTAGCACGAGACAACAGTAACGGATGATTTTTTCCTTCAGTTATTAAAGGAAATTGGTGCCTTAGTATATAACGTATTAGTTTCAAATTGGATCAGTCAAGCAAATACTATAAATTTGGTTCCGTATAATGTTTGAAGATATCGTTCGTAGGAAAATAGAGGTAAACAATACGCGAGTAAAATGGGTTAGAATTTATTCCTAGTTTTGCTTTGATATAAAATATTCGAGTTAGCTATGGCATAAGATTTAAAAATACGGAAATGCAATGAAAATATCCATGAAATAAAGGGAATTTTAGATACTATTTAATTTCGAAAATTCTATTCTAAAGAAACTGTGTGAAGTACACCTAAAAAATTCACATTAATTGCATTCAAAAATGTTAAAATACCGGCGTGATTTTTTAATTGGAATTTACAAACGATTTTCATTTTCTTCTAAAAACACAATTAGGAACTTACGTATTTTTAAAACCATTTGCTCACGTGCTACGATTGTAATATTCAACACAAAACCCCACTTTATGTAGTTGAACAGCAAGTACTATACATCGGATTGTAGTCATCAACCATGACTATCACCGGGAACTAAAAAAAAAACTAAAATTTTCAAAAATCAAAACTGTTACCCCCGATCTTTACGATAAACTAAACGTAAAAGACGTAAAGAAGGAACGTTGTGCTGCGTAACGCATTCAGCTCTCGAGCATTCCGTACTGGAAGGACTCCACAGTTGTTCTATCGGCAGTAAGACATTCAATGCGGACCACGTCTACCTCTTCAGTATCCGAAGACACCTGCAAAGAACGAGGAGGGGGAATTTTAATTGATTTACTCACGTTAGAATATTGAAACGCATGGTTGAACTATATAAGGTTGACCGACGAGAAGTTCCGTCTTTCAGTTCAGCTTTCTTGTTACGCCGCGTAGATCAAGAAACGTAAACAAACCCGTCATTCCCTTGACGGATTGGTTGACTGGTTTGATCGCATTTCGGTGATTGGTTAATGCCCGTGACGTCACTGAGATCAGTGACGTCACAGGCGAACAACGAATTACATCCGCAAAAATAGGCTTCTGATGAGTCAACCTTATACTAGTTCAACCATGATTGAAACGCAGGCAAGCATTCAGACATGCGGGGGCGTGGACATTTTGACTGAATTTTTTATCATTGTTTTACAGAATTTTTAGTTCAGGTTTGTTGTCTATTGATAGTAGATGTGTAATAAAAAATTTATTGAACAAAAAATGAATTGTTGCCTATGAAAACGAAAGAGAACACAAATTTCATCCCGATAACTGTTCCGTCAGAATGGAATTATTTGCAATTATGAATGTCGAACGCTCACCTCGACGCTGCAAGCCTGGATTGGGTAAACTGAATGCGGCAGGATCTCAACCACGTACATGCCTTCCTTGAGAGCGCTTTTCTTGGCAGGAATGTAATCAGACAAGGACCCAGATGGAAGATGGATTCGAATCCAAACTGCATGGTACACTGGCGGAGGCGTGTTACATGCAGACGACTGGACGTTCATTGGCGGATTCGTTGTGCTGTTCTTAGAAGGAGTGCGGAAGTTGGACATTTTGTGCAGTCGCAAATGTTCGTGTTCTCGCATCGACTGCCTGGATTTAACGCTTGAAGATTCGCTTTGTTTTTGGATTCTGTCATCAACGAGCCTCATCATTTCCAGATAACTGCCTGAGAGGCTGCTCCGTTCTCTTCGTGGGTGTTGAGTTGATGAAGTACTGACGTAACTGTCCTCGGCGAGAGAATGCTCGACACTTCGTTTGTTTCTCTCGTCAGTTTGGGTGTCACTGGTCTCTAGTAGCAAAGTTCTGTCATCAAATGGATAAGGAGACGCTGGATTGGTGGAAATGCTCGAACAAAGCCCGCTTAATCCCAATGTTTCGTTTGTTAATTGACAGATAGTAGAGGCTGAGCTTGTGCTGTATCCTGTGTCGTTCTTTGTTTCAAGCGCCAAGGCAGTCTCAGGAATATCACTTATGGGTGCACAAGCTCCGTGCAACATTGAAACCAAGTTCAATGGCTCGAGTGTCTGGCTCGTTCTCTCTTCCGGAAAGTTTATAGGTGGAAGCAGGGCAGCAGGAGGCGTTTTTTCTAGACCAGCGATGCATTTTCCAGATCGATCTGCAAGAATAAGGTAAGGACTTCTATTTTTCATTGACGACTGTTGCCCTTTGGCATCGTCCCATCGTCCTTCTTCGTCATCGCTCCTTTTTATCTCACGTTTGCTATTGTCGGCGTTCAGGCAAGATTCTGATCGACGATTTGAGTTAATTAGCGAATTGAAATTATTGGAACTTGGAGATTGCAGATTTTCAGTGGCCCTCATTGCGGTACTTGATGCAGCTCGGGAGTTTTGAAAAATATTCCGACGTGCTCTGTGGTTGTGTTCTGATGCAGGTTCAGAAAATTTAGCTTTGGGGTTTGTTCTTGGGGTCTGACATCGAGGTGGGAATTGTCGTGGAGGAGGCCTTGAGTTAGGAGTTGTATTGTAGTGTGGATTTGTTCTGGGGACCGAATGAGCAAGTCGGGTGTTGGGCCTGATGACGGTAGATGATTCATCAAATTAGATCATCGGAAAAATCCTATTAGTGAATTGCTTTAAATTCGTAGATTGAATTTATTGAAAAAAACGGATGAACTTATTATTCATATACTTTTTCCTAAAATTTCGAACTTTATTTTGAATAGATAAAGTTTACGCCGAGTCAATTTTAATACCTGAAATTTTAACATTTAAGATTTTGCTCAGCCGAAATTTACGTAGAATAAGTGGACCTATAGGAAAAATTGAGGTTGCTAAAAGGTGTACATGCTTGTAGCTGGAATTAACGAAGATACAAAAAGATCTAGAACAAATTTATGAAATGAATAGATTTTTAGATGATAGAATGAATAGATTTTTACCTGAGGCTAACTGAAACAAGCCGAGATGAATGTAAGCGATCAAGTAAAAAATATGACACTCATAGCATGCTATCATAAGGAAAAATATTAACGTAACTGCACATACAGACATGGAGGAGGAGTTTCGAAAACAGGTGGATCAGTTTCGTTGAGTCGCGCTGTTTCTTTAGAGCTGCACTCGACGATCACCCTCCACACGGCAATGACGGATCGCGCTGCACCATCAATCTGTTAACACAAATGAGGCATGCCACAGTCAGGGTATAGAGGAAATTGCTTGTCCGTAATAAAGTTACACACGGCAATGACAGATCGCACTGCGCTAACTGTCTATACATGCACAAATGAGGTATCTAAATTACACACGACAAACAGAGCGAGCTGTGGCTTCATTTTTGCCAAGACAAATGAGGTTATACGCAACTAAGTTTCACACGGCAATGACCAAGCGAGTGGCTTCTTTTGATAAGCAACAGAATGAAGAAAGAACTTTCATGATTTGACGTTCAAATAAATTCTTTTTATTGTCAAAGTTCATCGACTTTGTAGGAGCTTATCAAAGTCGCTTATACTCTATGATGTCATCTAAATTATAAATATCTTAATATTTTGCTAAATTTTTCACCCTGAATTGGAAGATGTACTTGCTTTGGGAATCATTGGCAATCGGCAAGGACATTGCACGTTACGTTAGGTGACGTCGTAACTCACGCTTTACATTCACGAAACATACGTCAAGATGTAAGTTACATCACCTTATTGCCTTATTATCAGTTTATTATGAACAATTTTAGCGACGAATTTCTTTATAAAAAATCCTTTCAATAATTGCAGTTACATTATGATGCAGTTGTTTCCAGTCACACATTTACATGGGTAAACACGAAGATAAAACGGAATCAGACGGATTAGTATTATTCGAATTTCTTGGAGATGTCTTTTACCGCTAATCCTGGCCAATTCGAGTGGTGCTTATATGGTAATTACGCTGCTGCTGTTACCGAACCCGCTGTTACAGCCTTAATGTACAATCATTAAACTAGTTGGTGTATGTTAAGTACCTAATAATTGGTATGAATTCAGAAGACACATATTGATCTGACCTCGCATTTATCGCCGGCATCAAGACTGGCAACTCCGGCGACGTTCCCGTAGATGTTGGAGTAGCTGGGGGGTGGAGTGATCGCCCCAACGGTGCCTAATTTGATGGACAAAATATTAAAGATGGACAACAATGAAGCGAAATAGCACGATACATGTGTTATGAGGGGAACAGTTGTGTCGGGAACAATGAAGCAAAATTAGACGATACATGTGTTATGAGGGGAACAGTTGTGTCGGGAACAATGAAGCGAAATAAGACGATACTTGTTATGAGGGGAACAGTTGTGTCGGGAACAATGAAGCAAAATTAGACGATACATGTGTTATGAGGGGAACAGTTGTGTCGGGAACAATGAAGCAAAATAAGACGATACTTGTTATGAGGGGAACAGTTGTGTCGGGAACAATGAAGCGAAATAAGACGATACTTGTTATGAGGAGAGCAGTTGTGTCGGGAACAATGAAGTAAAATAAGACGATGATACTTGTTATGAGGAGAACAGTTGTCTCGGGAACAATGAACCGAAATAACCCGATACATGTGTAATGAGGGGAACAGTTGTGTTGGTAACAATGAAGCGAATTTAGACGATACACGTGTTATGAGGGGAACAGTTGTGTCGGGAACACTGAAGTAAAATTAGACGAGACATGTGTTATGAGGGGAACAGTTGTGTTGGTAACAATGAACCGAAATAAGACGATACATGTGTTATGAGGAGAACAGTTGTGTCGGGAACAATGAAGCAAAATAAGACGATACTTGTTATGAGGAGAACAGTTGTGTCGGGAACAATGAAGCGAAATAAGACGATACTTGTTATGAGGGGAACAGTTGTGTCGGGAACAATGAAGCAAAATAAGACGATACTTGTTATGAGGAGAACAGTTGTGTCGGGAACAATGAAGCAAAATAAGACGATACTTGTTATGAGGAGAACAGTTGCTGTCTCTTATACACATCTAGATGTGTATAAGAGACAGGGTATAACCACCTTGGCCGTTGCCCTATTAACTGAAATTAAGTTCAATATAT